ATTTCGAATAATTACGTTAAATGATCCGTAAAATGAGCTGAGAGGCGGCAAGATCAGATGACCGAGCAGTGATGCCACTAGCCCAAAATCGGTTTTCCATGTAACAGTATCAATAATAGCAACTTCATCAATGGCATCTGAAAAGAGGCTCTGGAATCAGCAAATCTACCTAGATTTCTCGTTCTTTGTTGTCTTGCGATCTTTTCCTGAGAAGTATGCAAGAGTGCACTATATCGTTTACTTTCTAGTACATAATATTTATTCGATTGGATTATTAAATGACAAAGTTCACTTTAGTATATATTATATTTCCGGTCTGAAATTTTATCCTTCAGGGTTACATCTTGCCTATCGTTTTGTGCTTTGCAATGCTGCAATATATGTGTATGAACTATTAAGGAACCGAACGTGACCAGCATCGCCTGGAACATTCAGCATGAAGATATATTATGCTTCTCCGGAAACGACACGCTGCGAGTAAAATCAAGGGACTACAAAGTGTACAGTCAGCCAATGCCGGTAAGTTGACTGCTTTTAGTCACATGTGAAACCTCTTTGAAAATATCACTGGTTATAAAGCGGACAATTCTCTCTGTTTTTCATGATATCATGTACACGGTGCTGTCAGGATAGCTTTTCCCTCTGGTTCTGTGACGTTCAGCCTAGGTTCACAAACGGTATGCCATACGAGGGCCCATTTCCAAGCTTTGAGCCAACTAAATCAGTCATGGTCTCAACCGTAACGATAAAAACATTTATCGATCTATTGATTTTTGTGTATAATCGATGAAGCGTCACTTCCGTAATACCCTTCAGTCATTGTGGTGTTAGAATCTCAGAACCAGGAAATTGAGAGCAAACCGGTTGCCCAAATGTGTTCATGGGTATATTCATATCTCGAAATGGCAGAAGTCATCTGTCAACGTGAATAAATTGTCTCTGAAATTGTTAACTGTCAGCAGTCGGTGTCCTTTGGCATATCTCTATCGATGTTCTGTCACTATAAACATCATAAATTGTTCACATGCCTGAATATGTCAAGTAATAAATGACTCCCCCATGACCAGGTCTCACGGTGCAGTGCACTACCCCCTTGTTTTTAGTTGCCCAGGGAACAATTCAATCGGGCCATCCCCTTATGGCATTTGAGTACCTGAAGGACGAGAGGCACCTCACATTACCGTGTCCGTTAGGGTCACATTGTGAGCAAAGAGACCGTGCAAGACGCCGCCGTGAAATTTGGCTTTCAAGCAGTTTTGAGTCATTTGCATAGTCTGGCGTACCAACAGTTTATGACGTTCATGCGGTAGCATATAGGAAGTACCAGCTCCTGACACGTCGTCCATGACGAGAACGAGTGGCTCCAGTATATCCACTGCCGTATCTGGTACTGCAAGTGCTCAAATACCACGAAGCTGAGGCCTGCTTAAATGGCTTCATGGGCAACTAAGAGCAAGGGAGCGATATAATATGCTGCGAAATCTGGTCGCGAAGGACTCATTCGTTGTTGAAAATGAAACTGTCAGCATATTAGTTCACCTCCATTATTTACAATCATATAACGCAATGTGTAAATGCACAGGTCTTCAGGAGTCCATTTTACCCTTTTCAACATGTATTTTTGAAAATAATCTTGTTTGCTGACAAAGAACGATTTTTTGAACGTATCTAGTTTTATGATACTGTAGTTTAGAAGGATTTGTCTAAATATGTGCGGGGGCGAATCGAAAACACTGGACCATTTTACCGCCATATATCTTCTCTATATCCACTACAAACTATGCGGTGTCACCGCAAACTGCATAAGACTTGGAAAGCAGCCAAAAGAGCAGCGACTTTGTGACTTAAACCTGAAACCATCATTTTTCCTTAAAGTCTACTAAAGAAGAAAATTTGGATTTATTTGTGCAAATTAAAATCTTGCCGTAGCATAAGTAATTTATTTTTTCTCTTATATTTTAGGGTTTTGTTGTTGGATTTTCGGCCACCCAAGTGTTTTGTTTGCACATGTTTGTGATGTCCACCATCGAGGTTCCTCTCTTCCATCAAGTGAAGGAGTACATAAGTCGAAAGTTATTTCAGTAAGTTAATTTTTCCATTACGGATCCTCACTATACCATTGATTACGTCTTGTGTATGCTAAAAGTTTTTTCTCCATAGACTGTGGTTCAAGGCGAAGGAGCATAATGCACATTGTCTACACTTTCCAGTCGATTACCTCTTTCGGAAGTGCTAGTTGTTTGCTAACATCTTCTTTCAAAAAGCATATATAGAATTTTAAACCCACACTAAACTCTTGGCTGGGTAGCTGTAGCCGAATGCATCGTTTCATTTCATGGCTAGCTGCACAGAAAATATCAAAATAAGGCTGATAGTCTGTGCATTATTTGATAATTGCGTAACTATCGATCTACCGTATAGCACAAGAGTTTGAAGCGAATCGATTTTCCTCATAAAATATAATGAGGACGTTAACGTTAAGCAAACGAAGATGATACAAGGATCTACCTCATAATTCCTGTTGTAATATTTTTGGCTTTCCTAATTTGTATCAATATATATTTAAACAAAAGTACATGGAGTAATGCAAATTTGAATTTAAAAATATTGTTCCTGTTAAAAATATTGTTCGTGTTAAAAGAGGCGCAGAGCTATCAACCGATCATCACCTTGTTGTTGGCACGCTGCGCTGCAAG